ATCCCAAGAGTCTTTTCCAACCTGAATTGTTTATGATTCTATGATTATTAACATGCTATTACACTATTTCAGCATACTAACATTTATATTCACGCAGCTTTCAGGGTCTACATCTCCCAGCCTGAATAAATCCCCAAGGAGTTGCACAGATTTTTTAACATGCTTGATGTTCCACAATAACATAAGCAGCCACTTTGTCCAACACACAACTTAGAGAAATGAAATGTTCTTTTTTATGTATTTCTTTAATACACGTGTTGTTGACTATGTAATTAATGCACATACATGTATTTACAAGTATATATTCATAGAAACATGATAGAAGAGCGAGGTATCCGTACCATATGATGTTAGTCTCCTCAAGTTAGAGAGCAGTTCAGATCACCCAGTGAGGCTCCGTAATTTATAAGAGGAATCTTGAGTTCTAGAAAGTTAATAATGCCAGGAAGTTCCCCATGGCTTTTTTTTTAAATTTGAAATTTATTAAAAACCACGTGAAAATACATATTAGTATTGTTAGAATGCAGTTAACTTTTTAAGTATATTTGTTCTAGGAAGTTAGACATTGCACGTAACATTGTACTCCACGGTTCTGCACTCCCATATTTACCTGTGTCTTCCACTAATCTGAACAGAGCCACGCATGCCTGCAAATCGTAGAAAGAAGAAGGAAATGGACCGTTATCACTGTGATCCTTTTGATTTACTATCTGAAACATATACACACAGTGCAGTGCAGGTGTTTATTTTCATGACATGGCAATTTCATTCACAGGCAAATACATTGGAAGAATATTATACTGAATCAATATATGTTTTCTTGTAATTTCTTCTGAGGTAGTGAAGACCTACTCATAACATCTTAATTACTTTTGCTTGTAGTAATAATTTTCTATATATTCTTCTATCTCAATCCTGTCAGAAAACTGTCTATACTGTTGTTTGTTAAAAGTTAATACAGTTCCAGTTAATCTTAGTTTAATTTTTTTTTCCAGTTGCTAACTTCTCTTTTTTCTATTTTCATTTTTTTTAGTTTGCGATCAGTAGATTTAAGCCAAAACAAGATCATAAGCCTACCTGGACCAATGCACTGGAAATCATTAAACTTAAGGGAGCTGTTATTTAATCATAATCAAATAGATGTCTTGGACTTGAGTGAAAAAGCATGTGCATGGTCTAGGCTAGAAAAGCTTCACCTGTCCCACAACAAGTTAAAGGAGGTAAAGTGTGAGATTCTACCTAAAGAAAATGAAATCACTTTTCAGTTGAATGCAGCTTTTCCATGTTCATTTGATTTTGATGTCACCTCTCCTATTGTTGCAAATTTGATTAGTAAAATGGTATGTAAGGGCAAATAGTACTTCCTGTGAATGAAGACAGCTTTTCTGTTTGGAGTGTGTCTCATAATCATTACAGAATTTTTTTGTCTATTAGTGTGGGATATTAGGCCTGTTTATTAAAAAAATGTTACACTACAGCAGTAATATTAGCTAATTTTGTTGATTGATGTGTTTGTGCGTATACATTTTTTTAAACATTTAATTGCCCATTAAATGTTCTTTTGTTTAGATTCCTCCTCAGATTGGCTTCCTAGAGAACTTGACTTCTCTGGATCTAAGTCATAATCCCGATTTGAGATTCTTTCCAGATGAAATGGGAAGACTGTCCAAAATCTGGGATCTTCCTTTGGAAGGGCTCCATCTTAATTTAGATTTCAAACATGTGGGGTGCAAAGCCAGAGACATTATCAGGTTTGTTGCCCTATTACCTTGATTATTCTTAGTTTACTTTCTTGGGATACTCAGTGATCATTAAGGGAACAACATACCCTTTTGGAAAGACGTGCTGGTTTGTCATATGAAATCCAGCATGCTGCTCTATGGAAGGTACCGTATCCTATATATCATAGATCATATCATATCAACACACATATAAAATGGAATATAGTGATTTAGATTATAATAGTATTACTTCTTGAATTCACTGCTTCTGTAAATTATGCAATAAATGGTGTTACTTCTAACATTTTCTTGTGTTGCCAAGTGCATTGGACACAGCATATTTTTTGGTAATTACAAAACAAGAAAAGACACATTCTGAATTAATATTTAACTTTCAGATCAAAAATTTAAGAAGACTGTTAAAATCCCAGTAATACCGAGCAGATATTGAAAAACTGAAGAAAATTATGTGACTTGGATTTATCCTTGATTTCAAGTTCTGTTGGTACTTTTCTCAGACTTCTGTGATTTCTGCAAACTTTTTTTATGCCAGATTTCTTCAACAACGACTGAAGAAGGCTGTACCTTATAACAGAATGAAGCTCATGATTGTTGGTAACACTGGCAGTGGGAAAACTACCCTGCTACAACAACTAATGAAGTGCAGACGAACAGAATTGGGTGGTCCAAAAGCTACAGTAGGCATCGATGTAAAAGACTGGATCATTCAAGGGAAAGGCAAAATGAAGAAAGAGCTTATATTAAATGTGTGGGATTTTGGAGGTATTTTGAGAGCTTATTCTCCTTTATTATTATCTTTTCTAACACATTAATGCATTACTTATTCTTAGAGTCAGTCTGTGGAATTTTAAATTGCACACAGTAGAATCATGCAAACTTAGACCAGAAGTGGCTGCTTACAAATGAGTGAATTCTGTATATTGGTAGCTAATGCCTCTATTTTAATATAAAACCTGAGGAATTTCTTGTTACCAGTTGTGGTCTGACCACTTCTTTCAGCCATAGTGCTGTAGAGCTCTCATTTTGGAATAGTAAGAAATTGCTTGCCATCACGGGAACACTCATCTTCCACTCAACTCTGCTTTTCCCTTTTATAATCTGGATCTCTCAAGGCTCTACAGTTTCACTGTTTCATAAGATCACAGAAAACAAGTGCTTAAGAGGAGTCTTTAAACTTTGGGCTTTATCAGGGATATTTTAGGCTATAGAAAAGTTATTTTGAAATGTTGGTCGGTGATCATTTAAATACAGTCTATATCCGAATGGATATAGAGCAGCTTTCAAGCTGAATGTCGAGCTTCAGTTGTGATTTTAAATGCTTCATCGTGTGAACTTAGGAGTCTTAGGGATATGGTTTAGTTAGGACTTGTCAGTGTTAGGCAATTCTGATTCTGTCTTATTTTGAAGTTGCTGAAAAGACAGGAGAAAGCGAGAGAAGAAACAAAAAACGGAAGGAAGGAGTGAGGGAGAAATTAATTACTGAGATTTTAGAAGAATTATGACCTTTCAAGTTGTCTTTGCAGCAACCATGCTTATCCAGTTGTTAAATCTTACACTCCTTGATTTTAAACTAGCTTATGTATTTCAACACTACACTCTAGTCAATGAACTACCACAGAGTACTTACCTAAAATTCATAGTTATTACCTAAAATTCAGATAATTTTCTGTAAGCATTAATTTCATTTGTGGATTAGTGATCTGAGAATAAGTGTTCTGCCCCCTGGTGCTGCAGGTGCTCAATGAGGGAAGTACTAAACAGTGGAAATTTTTTATCATTAGGACAAGAAGAGTTCTACAGTACCCATCCTCATTTTATGACCCAAAGAGCTTTATATCTTGCTGTTTATGATCTCAGCAAAGGACAAGCAGAGGTAGATGCTATGAAACCATGGCTTTTTAACATCAAGGTAAGCCATAGATATGTACAGAATGGAATTCCACTTTCCAGGAGGCTGTTGGTGAACAGCAAATTCACCACAAATATTTTCAGATTGGGGAAGAGGAAAGAAGCTCTTCAGCAAATAAAAACAATAAGATGAGACAACAGCTCAAATACTTCATATATTGAATATGAAAATATTTGTAGACCTTACAAAGATGTGATCAGCACTATTTTGTAGTTAAAATGGTACAGTGATGTGCGTGGTTAGCCATGACTGGGTGATACACTTACATAAAGATTTTGTATACCGATTCTGTTTCTTAAACTTGTCTTTTTCACGCTTTTCACCTTGAGCAGTGGTACAGGACAGTGGGTTACAGTTGGTTCAGTGCTGGTGAAGACCATTTCTGATGTGTTCTTCTTTGCCCTGTAGTACTTGCTCGTGTTTCATTGCTACACTGTTCTAACAACAACGAGCAGATTACCCTTTGCTTTCCTGTTTTGTTGGGCATTTTTAAAGAAAAGTACGGTTGTCCCTCAATTTTACTATCATTACTCTACAAAGTATGAAATCGAGATCTACACTGCTTCGGTTTAGAAAAGGTTTTTTTTTAAAAATACTTTTCTTTTGAAATAGACTGCTCTTTGTGTGTTAAGAAAATATGTTTCATATTTACAGTCTGGTGCATGTTTACTGCTTATCCAGTTAAGGATATTATCTGGGATTGCAGTTCAAACTTACTCTGAATAAAGAGATTAAATAGTATTTCAGGTTTCAAACTTATTTAAATGCCCACGTTTTATGTGGATATAAAACAATAAAGTCAACATTCACTACTGAGTTAATCGACTGTATGGGTCTCACCAACAGGCTCGCGCTTCAACATCCCCCGTCATTCTTGTTGGCACTCATTTAGATGTTTCTGATGAAATGCAGCGTAAGACCTGCATGAGTAAAATTACTAGAGAGCTGCTGAATAAGCGAGGCTTCCCAGCAATCCAAGATTATCACTTTGTGAATGCAACAGAAGAATCCGATTCCATTATCAGACTTCGGAAAATCATAATAAAGGAAAGTCTTCACTTCAAGGTAAGCTACATACTGTCTGTAATGTTGAAAACATCCTACTGCTAGTTAAGTAAGTACATTTTTAAATATTAACACATAGTTAAATGCACATTTAATGTGACAGCACACTCATCTATAAAATGTTACACACAGCAAAATAATGAAGGAAATAATGAGGTTTGTTTTCATTTCGTTTTCTACCAATAAAAATCAACGTAGTAAATATCTTAGCTAAGTTATATTTTCAAGTACTAGGGGCATAAGTGCAATATTTCATTTAAAATAGGCCATCTTTTTCTTATGAAGAAATTTGACCAAAAACTGCTTTTGTTGGATGGCAACATGTAATTGAAGTAAGTATTGCAAGATTTCAGGGACCAGGAAATAGAATTTTGGGATTTCTGAAAGCCATCCAGTTCTCCCTTTACTAATTTCATTTGGTGTAGTGTGAAATTATTCCTACAAAGAGGAGAATGAATTAAAGCAGGGAAAGAAACCCTGTGAGACTCAACGATCCTAAACTGGAGAATCTGCAGTGTTCAACGTTGTCAAGTGCTCTGCGTCTTTGAAATTACACAAAGTACTGATTACATTTGTGACAGCTAAAACTGCCACAGTTGGTGTTTAACTTCTTTGAAAGGAAGATGACAAACTAGGAAGCCAATTTAGAAATGTGTTTCCTCAAGAAACATCACTAGCTCAGCACCCGTGGAGAATGAAAAACCTGGTGGGGTGCCAGCAAATGCCAAAGGTCAAAGGGTGTCGGTGTCTCCAGGAAGGAACCCAGGCTCAGGAAACAGGCGCAAAGCACCTGACTGTGTTTCCCCCAAGTGTCACTAACCTGGCTAAATATATTTCTTCCTCTCCTCTTGTCCACTGACTATCAGCAGTGCAGACTTTTAATTGAGCTACTACCCTTTTCACCCCAGTTTATCTCAAGACATAACTAAAAATATTGCAGATTACAAGAGCTATCTTTTTATATTATTCATTTGCTTGTTTGTCCTGTGTCGTTTGCCTGTTGTCCATGTTCATACAGTGAATATACGTCTTTTACTTCAGATCAAAGCTTCTCTTTAATGTCTTCTGAGACATATTTTTTATGTATGTGTAATATGGAAATATTTTCTTCCTGGAGTATTCATTTATAGAAAGACATTCATATTATAATTCCAAAAGAAGAATTAGTTACATCTACCTTTTAGAAGCTATGTTAGTCAATAAATAAGAATTCTTGTTCCTTCTTGCTGCTATTATTCAGTGGACGTACCCACCTTACATCTTAGTTTTATTGTCTGCATTTCACATAAATAAATTAATACATTAAAGATTATTATTCCTTATTATACAGATCAGAGATCAACCAGTGGTTGGTCAGCTAATTCCTGACAGCTACCTGGAGCTGGAGAAGAGAATTTTGCTGGAACGTAAAAATGTGCCACTTGAATTTCCTGTGATTGATCAAAAACGCTTACTGGAACTGGTGCAAGAAGGCCAGTTACAGCTGGATGAAAATGAACTTCCTCATGCGATTCACTTTCTGAATGAATCAGGTAATATATTATCTTCAGTGCATGTTTGTTAGCACTTTGTTGCAAATCTGCAGCAGACAGAGCAGTACGTGTTTTTAAATCACACGGGGTTGCAACAAAGCGTTGAGCTGAAATGCTTAAGCTTCAGTAACATTACTTTAATAACCCAGATTGTTATGCCCCGAAGGAATTACTTGATACAAAGCATCACTACTGTAACAATTTATATCTCTTACCCCTCCTTGGAAATATCATACCTGCTGGTTAGAAAACACAGTTTCTGAAGAAGGATGCAATATCTGTAATAGTTTGAATAGAACAGCAATTAAATGAAAATGTGTACCAGCTTATCTCAGTGCTGTACAGACTTCATAGGATTAAATAATAAACTACACAGAGCATAGCTGCTTGGCAGAAGAACAAGTCAGATTACAAACCCAACAGAACATCTGAAACTAAAGGGAAAGCTGAACAAACCATGATTGCATTCTGTTCTCGAGATACTGACATAAATTCAACAGCCTTATTTATTATTCAGATTGCTCATGGCAAGTCGTGTAAGAAAACCAGCTCAGAGTGAAGCATTTACTTTGCTTAATATGAAGCGTGAGAAATGCACTGCTAATTACCATATTCCTTGTGCAGGTGTGCTCCTTCATTTTCAAGACCCAGCACTACAGCTGAGAGACCTGTATTTTGTAGATCCTAAGTGGCTGTGTAAAATCATGGCACAGGTTAGACTCTGATTACTTTTTTAATCTACATTTATGGAACTCTTTCCCGCTGTCGAAACCACTGTAATTTATCAGTGGTTCTTGTTCAGCACTTCTTTACCGTTGCATGACTGAGAATTTTCTCAAGGCCTAGACTGGTTCACCTGGCTCTTTCTGTTTCCTTTGCTTTCTAGACAACTGTCTGTCTCAGCAGTTCTTCATTCTTACTCTCTAATGTCCAATATCATTTAAATTGCACTGGACACAGGAATACATATAGAGTAGAAAAACCCCACAGATGCAAAGTAATCCGACAATATGTTGTGATACATTGAGATAAAAGCTGGAATTTTGGATTAAAGCAGTATGAATGGAAGAGAAGGATGGTTGTATGCTGGATACTGAGGGCAGAGGGAAGTGAGCTGGGACAGAAGACTAGCACCCTGACTGCCTAAGTGAAGCCATCATTGAAATACTGAGCTAGAAACACTCTTAAAATTATACATATATATATTCAGAGTTCCCAACCTCTGAAACTTATCTTTCACTCAGTGCAGGAAATGAGATGGCAAAAATGTAAGTTTGAGCAGGTAAAGCTAGTGGAATTAAGAATGAGAGAAGACCCGAGAGATCGTAACATACAGTGAAAGTTGCTGAAGAGTGATAGCACACAAGTGGCTTGGACAGGTTAATTTTTTTTTACTGCTGTCTTCTTGCTGGCTAACATCATGGAAATGTTTGGTTTCACTGTGAAATGGACTCCATTTTTTCCCCCCTAAATAATAGGCTGTCAGGTATTTCAGGGAACAAAGTTTGTCAGCAAAATGCAGTCTAAGGTCTGTAACCTGAAATTGGTTTACTCTGTTTTGAAAGATTCTGACAGTGAAAGTGGAAGGCTCTTCTAAATATCCTAAGGGAATTGTAAAGCGTTCAGACGTGGAAAAATTCCTTTTAAAGAAGAGCAAATTTCCAAAGATCTACATGTCCCAATACTTCAAACTTCTGGAAAAGTTTCAGATTGCTTTGCCATTAGGAGAAGATCAACTACTAATCCCAAGCAGGTAAGCAAAGGGCAAACCCCATAAATGACAGCCATAGAAATCAATCAGAATAAAAACCTTCTATTAGTCTGACTAGTTTAACTGATCATCAAAGCAATTTGGTAGATGAAAGCATCATACGTAGTTGGTACACTACATTTTAGTTAATGCTTTCAGGGACATGTTAAGCTGATTTTGTAGCAGATAAAACCTACGTCGCCTTAGCGTGGTGGGTAGATTGAATCTGTAAATGATGAAATGCTTTATGAGAATAATATTTTTTTTACGATTACCACGCTTTGAGACTGCAGCAGGAAAATTGTAATTTAGCTTTACATTGCCGTGTGCCAGCATTACAGATATTTATTGCAATATAAAAGATAACTATGAATTTCTGTAGCCTATTTGCTTGGAATGAGAACCACAATCAAGTTACTCAGAGGCAGGATCTCCTCCAAAATGTCTGGGTATTAAATGTGGTGGCAAAAAAGTGTTACTAATTTAAATGCAGTCTCTTACTTTAGCTGAAGTATGTAAAACAGTTTCTCTGCCTCAGTTACAGATTGCTCTAATGTGTTTAATAACGCTTATGTCGCTTTATTGGAGAGAGTGTTGCATGATTGCATTGATTTCTATATTCTTCAGAGTCCTGGAAGATTTTATCTGCATATTTTACCTGCCTTATATGTGTCTCAGGTTTTTCTCATGCTTACATTCAGTATCTAATGATTGTTAGTGAGGTTCTGTTTGATTTAAATTGCAGCAGACCTTCAGTTTAGCACAAGCAAGCAGAATAAGCAAATGCAGTGTCTCTTCCCTGATCATTTAAATCATTCATTCATTAATAAATAATACATTTTACAGAATAAGTTAATGTATGTCATCAGTCAGTTTGGATAAAGCACATCGTTAAATACTGTCTAATATTTTTATTCTTTCAGCTTGTCTGATCACAGGCCTGTTATCGAGCTTCCTCACTGTGAAAATTCAGAAATTATCATCAGACTTTACGAGATGCCGTACTTTCCCATGGGATTTTGGTCCAGGCTGATCAACAGGTTACTTGAAATATCACCTTACATGCTCTCAGGAAGAGGTACAAATCTTTATCTTCAAAACCAATAGATCATGTTTGCTTTGAATGACAACATTTGCAAGTTGAAGCTGTAATCGTAGAATCATAGAATGCTTTGGATTGGAAGGGACCTTTAGAGGTCACCTAGTCCAGCCCCCCTGCAGTGAGCAGGGACATCTTTAACTAGATCAGGTTGCTCAGAGCTCCATCCAGCCTGACCTTGAATGTGTCCAGGGATGGAGCCTCCACCACCTCTCTGGGCAACCTGTTCCAGTGTTTCACCACCCTCATTGTAAAAGAAAATCCCAACATTGTTTTGCTTTACCTAATTTCTCGCCACTTCAGATATGTCAGAAAAAGAACAGCGATCATTTTTGTACCTTAGAAATATCTAGGAACAGATGGTGCATGATCTCTACAGTGGTGGCAAAAGAAAGTGAAGGTTGCAAACAGCCTATTTCTCTCCCTCACATATAGAGATGGAGCAAAGCCTTCTGTTTATGTTCACTTCTACAAAGAATACAGGAATGGATACACACAAAGAAATAAACTGATTTTGTTCAGGTTCACTGATTCTCCCTTTATGAACATCCAAATACTTTGCTTTTATCAGAAGAGCAAGAGGGAGTCTTTAATTTTTTCCACTAGTTCTGTGTGCTGAACTTTGCAATTTCACTCATATTTGGTTTCTTATTATGTGTTTTATGAATGCTAGTGACAAGTAAAGCATGAAAAATACACATTGCTAATGCTCTGCAAATGTGATTTATAACTGTCATCTTTCCTGGCATTCATCTTCCTGAGCATAGAATTCCAGTGCTATTTTGTGAGTGTGTGATAAAGGAAAAACTTAAATCACTGATTTTTATTCATATGTTGCCTAAAATAATCTGTGTTTCAATCTGAATGTACTTAAGCATTTCTGTAATCCCTACATCCATCACGCACTGCGTGACTTACCATGTGATTAAATATTTAGTTTGTGAATTCACCTTATAGAACTGAGCACCAGTGGACAAATATTTAGCTTTTGAGGGGCTATTCTGTCTGAAGTTCTAGCCTTTATTTTGTTTATTTGAGTAGGCGTAATCCTACAATCCTAATTAAATAGTCAAAGTGCCATGAATTATTCTGAATATTTTAAAGTATGACATTCATATTGGTGATCAGATTCTTAAACTGATTTTATATTTTCTAGAGAGAGCTCTTCGTCCTAACAGAATGTATTGGAGGCAAGGCATCTACTTGAACTGGTCTCCTGAAGCTTATTGTCTAGTGGAATCAGCCGTATTCGACAACAACCCAGACAGCTTTTTGAAAATTACGGCACCTTCTTGCAGAAAAGGTTAATTATTCCTGAGCCTGATGTTTGCTCTGGTTTGGTTGCAGCTTGGCATCTGGATTTGTTGTGCTTTTGCCTTTAGAATGTAGAGTTTAGCTTCATGATTAAAGGATAGTGGACTGAGGCTGTCATTTCCCTCTTCTGGTGTCTTCAAGGGTGCATCCTTCTGGGGCAAGTTGTGGATCACATAGATTCTCTTATGGAAGAATGGTTTCCTGGTTTGCTGGATATAGATGTATGTGGTGAAGGGGAAACGCTGTTGAAGAAGTGGGCTCTGTACAGCTTTCAGGATGGCGAAGAACACCAAAAAATACTACTTGATGACTTACTCAGAAAAGCTGAAGAAGGTACGTATTTATGCCATTTGAGGTATATAGAGGAACATCTGTATGTAGAAAAATATTATACGACATCCCCTTTAGGACCTTTGAGTACTTATGTTATTTCTGTAAGAAATAATTGCAATCTAAGCCAAAAGCAACTTGTTCTTTTTTATGTAAGTTTAGCATATGGGGAAGATTGCAGCTACTCCATATAGTCATGTATAAAGGGCAATAATGAAAAAAACCAAACGTTTTGTAATGATACCGTTAATACAGCTTCATGATCTAGTCGAGAGGTGGCGTCCCTGGTGGCAGGGAGGCTGGATTAAGATGATCTCTAAGGTCCCTTCCAGCTTAGGCCATTCTATGATTCTATGATTCACGGAACTGAATCCAGCACACAGTAAAACTGATACTACATCTTTTGGTTGGGCCGCATACAATGATAATTTAAAAGGCGACATTTGGGATGACATTCTACCCTCTGATGGAATTCTTTCTTTTAACGGACAGAAGAATAATCTCTCCATTAGTTTGGTGTTGTTACATAGCAACAGCCTCTATCACATTTGGCTGGTTACATATGCAGAAACTTGAGAATACTTAAACATGTAAGAGAGGTAAAGTTGAATGACAAAATTAGTTTTCTATTGCATATATATGTGTGTGCATGTAGGTATATTTATGTCTGTGCATGTATGTATATACACACATATGATTTTAATTGTAGTTACAGTGATAATATGCACTGAGAGAGATCCACATACCTTCCAGTGCGTTTTGAATGATGACTACTCTGTTTTATTATTTTATTGTCTCATTGGGTTTTCTTAGGTGACCTTTTGGTAAATCCAGATCAACCGAGGCACACCATTCCAATAGCTCAGATTGCTCCTGACCTGATACTGGCTGATTTGCCTAGAAATATTATGTTGAACAATGATGACCTGGAATTTGATGAAGCTCCTGAATTTCTCTTGGGTAAACGTTATTTTATAGGACTTTTTTACAGAGCTTATGGAAACAAATCTGTTGAAGTCAGTTCTGCAACATATGGAAAACATTTTAGATTTCTTTTTTGTGAAAGTGCCTTTTTTAAGGTAGTCTTAATTTTAGATTATTGAGGTTTGAATCTTTCATTTGTGTGTGTGCTAGGACATTCTGTATGTGTTTAGATTGCTGATCATGAAGCTTAACACAGTAGATGATCCACACATTTTAAAATTGGACCATTTCAGCTATCTTTCAGCTGATATTTCTTTGGTTTTAATACTCATTTCAATTTTGTGTTGAAAAGGTGATGGTGGATTTGGATCTGTGTACCGGGCATCCTATGGTGGAGAAGAGGTTGCTGTAAAGATTTTCAATAAACATACTTCCCTCAGGCTTCTAAGACAAGTAAGAAATATTGCCTTTTTTTTCTTTCTTTCCTGTAGTGCTTCTCTTGGAAAGCCAACCCTAGTGAAGAGCTTAAAAAGCTCCAGTCAATTGCAAGACTTCACTCCAGAACTTTTGTGAGTTTACTTCAGAGCTACAGAGGTTACGCTATTTGCAGTATTTCATCTGATTTTACATTTTACAGGAGCTTGCGGTGCTTTGTCACCTCCATCACCCCAGTTTAGTATCGCTGCTGGCTGCTGCCATCCGTCCCCGCATGCTGGTGATGGAATTAGCCCTTAAAGGATCTCTTGATCGTTTGCTTCAACAAGACAACGCGAGTTTAACTAGAACCCTTCAGCACAGGATAGCTCTACACGTAGCCGATGGCTTAAGGTAAATGGCACTTCTACATTGTTGTGAAAACAGGATACAGCTGCAAGTAGCATGTACTGCAGATGAAAAGGTTCTGTTTTCTTAGATCTCAAGCCAAATCTTCCCTGAGTCAGACAAATGTTTGCATTTTTATGATTAGCTGGTATATAAAATCGATTTTTTGTTACCTGCTTTTTTCTGCTAACAAGTGGTGCTCATCTAAGCAGAGAAATAGCAAGAGCTCTGGTGGATTTTCTGTGTGGCTGTTGATACCTTAATGTCAAAGAAAATAATTCAGTGCATTTTTAAAGTTCTGAAAGTCCATGAATGTTCTCAGTAGCTGTTGAATTGTGACTATAGAATGACAAAACCTGCAAAAGGACTCATGGACCAATGAAGCTTAAACTTTGAAGATTCATTTCTCAAACTGCCAGTGGCACTTCGTACTAAAATACTGCAATGTTTATGTGCCAGTAAATATTATTTCAGAACAATTCTAAAGTCGGTATCCAGTGAGGCGGTCTCATGTCGGTGATGTTTGACTTCTTTTTTTAACACAATATTTAACAATTACTGTTGTGGGAGTAATGCATTCAGTGTGTGTATACAGACACATCCCTAAATTATGAATGCTTTCAATAAATGCTTTTTTGATTAACAGGTACCTGCATTCAGCAATGATCATCTACCGGGATTTAAAGCCTCACAACGTGTTGCTCTTTACCTTGTACCCTAACTCAGCTGTTATTGCAAAAATAGCTGACTATGGCATTGCCCAGTATTGTTGCCGAATGGGAATAAAAACGTCTGAAGGCACACCAGGTATGGAAATAGCTTTGTTTTGCAGTGCATTATGTCAAAAAATAGCTAATATGTTTTTTATGTTTTCCATAAGAAGTAACTCAATTCTGTACTCTAGTCAAAGTCGAGAAATGCAGTCCTAATTGGACTGCAAGTTATGATGCCAGATTTAAATATCTCTTGGCCTTCCTTCCTGTTCCTGTTTATACCCCTTTTAGAGTAAATTACATGCATTCATTGTAATTTTTTACTGTCTTGTTTTAATATGGTTATTGTGATACTGAAATTATACCACCAAAATTATTCGTTGTTTCTGTTTTCAGTCATGCACAGGTAGATCTTAATGTTTTTAAAGGCGATAAATATCCACAGTGTTCCCTGCCTTTAGAGAGAGCACGTTAGCAGCTATTTTAAAGCACTGAACAATTCAGCAACTTTGAACAGTGCCTTCAGGTCTTCGAAATTGTGTGTCAGGGTGTGACTTCAAATGTTAAATGTTAGGCCTTCAGTAAAGACTGCAGACTTGCCCTTAGTTTTGAGTATTCATTCATTAATGTATTATTTTATGTGTAAGGGCACAAGAGCTCTGTAAGTGATGTCCTGTCCCTTTCCTTTGTACTGGTGTTTTTGGAGGTCTGTCACAGGCAAACTATTGCCAGCCCAGCAATAGTGTGCCATTTGTGGTTTACTTCCTGTGACATTTTCACCCATAAGTGTTTGCTCTTAAAAGGATAAAGATGGCTTCATCTTAGTAACTATTAATGAATGATTTATTTTCAGGATTTCGAGCACCAGAGGTGGCCAGAGGCAATGTTATTTACAATCAGCAAGCAGATGTTTATTCGTTTGGCTTGCTACTTTATGATATTTTAACAGGAGGAGGTAGAATAATGGAAGGCTTGAAGTTTCCAAATGAATTTGATGAATTAGCAATACAAGGAAAGTTACCAGGTAGGCCTTGTTTCTTCAAGTTTTAACGTGAAGGTGGACCATTTGTCCTGCCTGCTGCAAAAATAACACCTCTCATGTTTTAGGTTGTACCTGAGAGTGATCAGAGGAGGAGACTAAATAATAACATTTCCATCTGCATTGCAATATGTAGTTGTTGGCTGGAAGTTGTGGAAGTTGTTGGCAGGAAGATTAAACAGACTCTCAGGCTGCACATAGTGTAGTCATTTGGACAATATAACTCGATATTTGGCAACTTCTGTGTAAAGAGATGTTGCATTTTTATAGTGCTGCAAGCTTAACATGTGTGGTTCTTATTCGTTGCCCTGCCGTAGTGAACGTACTTGTGAAAGGAAGACTGAAAACTCATTCCATTTAGGAAAGTGCAGCAACCGCACCACTTCATCTGGCATAGCTTCTCCGTTAGCAGAGGCAGAGTTCATACATTTTCTACCCCTCAGTAGCCCAGTTCATAGCTCAAGCAGTTGAAATCCCCTCCCTGAAGAGGCTGTCCCAAGAACTGATGACTAAGTATTTCTTGAGTGCAGCTCTCTATTTGGCTGCTTTCTGTGTTATGAACCCTGTAAAATCATCAGTATTAGTTTCTGCGGAGCATACGGTTCCTTTTGTGCTCATGCTCATCATTTTTATATTTTCCCCAAAAAAGGGGCTGGCTGAGCTCACAGGTAAAGAGCACCTACTGTTTACCAAACAGTTTATGTTCGTTTGCGGGTATTTGTCATTAATTCTACCTCTGTCTAAGGTAGGGCCGGAATATCTGCTGTGGATTACGATTATCTAAAAAGGTAAAGCATTATTTATGAGTGGTTTGTTCTTAAGAGAAGTCAGCCCCTATAGTCCTAAGATACATATTCAAAGCACTCAGTGGGAATTTGAACTGCCCTGTCTTGTAAATGCTATATGAAGTTGGTTGTCTAAATGGCTACACATTTTACTGGAAGTTCACCCATATTCTGTATACTCTGCCTGAACACAGAAGAATACACGTGGAAAAAAATGTTCACGGTAATTGAATTGACTACAGACTGAAATGACAGGCCCTCGAGTGGTCAGCATTAATCAAAACACGACTCACACATACCTTCAGTTGCAGGCATAGGGACATTGACGAAAAAGTTAAAACAAAATCCGTTTGCTCTAACTGCTTTTAATGAAAAGGACTCTAGCTCTACTGTTTCCTGCTCCAGCATTTAATGGCAGACGAACAGTTCCAAGCTGTTCACGCTGACATTTTATCTAAGAGTACGATACGTCACAGACTAACTCTGTAAGAAGTTAGATGAATTCTCAAAGTAAGAAAGTTACTCAGAACTCTCTTTTTTGAACTGTGGTAAAGACTGGCTAAGAAGTTACCTAATTTTACATTTTAGATCCAGTCAAAGAATATGGGTGTGCCCCCTGGCCTAAAGTTGAAACTTTAATTAAAAAGTGTTTGAAGGAAAACCCTCAGGAACGACCAACTTCTTCCCAGGTATTACTTTATGTATTTATTTGTGCGTTTGTGATAGATGATACTACAAAGTTATTGTGCTTTCTCAAAAGTTAGTAAGAGGCACCAGGTTTTTTTCTGTTCTTATTTCCTGGAGCTGAAACAGCTATAAAATACTGCCTGCTCTTCCCATCCAGGGTAAAGTGTTCCATTAAAATCTATCAAACATTTATTCTAGCCTGCTGGTTTTCCCTGTGTTGCTGCATAGTGATTGTAGTGAAGCAGGATTGGGATTGCTTCATGGACTTTACTAGAGGGACGCAAAAAGGACTTTGTTACATCCTGTCGGCGCAGTTCGCCTGCAGCGTTCCGTGCACGCGAGAGGGAGAACAGCAGTGTGGGTCTGGAACCTCCTGCCTGTTACCACACGTTGCGTCACTCTTGGAAATGGATGGAATTTTCAAATGTGCCTTAGCCCCATCAACTTCCTAAAATTTTAACAGGATAATAAGGATCAGCATAAAGTTGCTTGGTGCGCAAGCATTGCTCAGTCATAGTGGTAATACCAACGAGCGTATCTGCTGAGATACTGTGTCCATATTCCATTAAACATTTTTCCCCTGTAAAAGCCTTTGTTATTACTATGTGCACGCTGTGGCTTTCTTTGCAGGTTTATGAGATCCTGAATTCGGCAGAACTTCTCTGTTTGATGAGGTACGTTTCAATACCCAGCACGTCTACAGCAGAGTGCATGGTAGCTGCCAATCAAAGCTGCAAGAAGGCAGGAGTCTGGATAGGCAACGGGAACTCAGAAAAAGCACAGCTTTCATTTGTTAACCTAAATACAGATGGACACACTTGTGAGGTATGTGGGGAAAGTTGCACGTATTCTCATTTTTTTTGGCACCCAGATGTATCTCAGAAGAATGAATTGCGTTTTAACAGCAGGATATTACTTCTGGAAAGCTAAGCTTTGAGAGAACAAATATTGCTCAGAAGTGAGTCATCACTGTATCCGTAAAGTGAAGCAGAAAAGGAGTCACTTTTTCCTCTCTTCCTGCCATCTAGCCTGAACTTTCTCATAATACTGACTTTCCACTACTGAGTTCCTTTCTTCCACTCAGATGGAAGCTATTTCTAACATGGAGACTAGAACAAGGAGTAATAGTTATACAACTCTTCATATCTCTACCTCCCCTAACAATCTTCCTATGGATGCCACCTCTTTGTGCCACTTTGGGTGATACACTCCAGCTCTTTTCACTTGATCTTTGATCTTTGTGCATCTTAGTCCTGCACCATCAGAAGGGGGAGAAGGTTTTACCCAGGTGTGATGTGCTGTGATGAACATGTGTGTCTCAGTGTCAACATTGTTTAAGTTATATTTCCATCTGCTCTCTGTCGACCGTGACACATTTGAATTGGTAGGTTAGGTATAAATTATATGGCTTATTTTTCTAAAACTAAAATGACAAAGAGAAATATTAGACTGGTACTTTTATTGTTACCAGCTTAACCGAATGTGTACTGCAGAGTACTTCCATTCTTTTAGTTCTCTGATGGCTTTGAGACCGTCATTAGAACAGAGAAGGAGAATTTTTTTTTCAACATTCAGCTTAGAGTTTCCCTCTGTACTGTTTATGGGGTCCTTCCCAGCACTTCAGAGATGGATGGCACAGTTGAAGATGTATTCTGCTAGTAGAGAATTAGATTTCTTAGTAGGGAGGTTAAGCCTTGTGTCTGTCTGGGGCCTGAGAAGATTTTAATTTATTTTTATTACCAGCATTTATTTACTAGCATTTACCCTTATTGAATTCATAACAAGGTTGGTTTTGGTTTGTTTTTTCTCCTAACTAGGATATTGCAGATAGTAAAATTTTAAGTTTGGCCTTAGTGACCCTTCTTACTGAGAAAGAAAACTGGATTGTAGCAGGAACCCAGTCTGGTTCTCTGTGGGCGATCAACACAGAAGATGAAACAAGAAGGCATCGTCTGCAGAAGATGTCAGATTCCATCACTTGTTTATACTGTAATTCTCTTTCAAAGCAAAGGTATAAATTATTTTTTCAATATTTTGAGTTATGTTTTGAAAATACAAGTAAACAGAGATGTTAAGAAAGTTACATCTGTATGTTCATGCAGTTTTGTTCAGGCATCTGCTTATTTAGCCTGTCTTTTCACTTAATTTTGTATTCAGTGTAACTGAGGACTGTGTTCCTGACCACATGTGGTTGTATTCATTTCTAGTGTTCAGTGAAACTCTTGAAATAGCACAGGCCACTCATTTAAATGTTTCTTACCTGATTAAGGAATTTCTAGAATTCATTATTTTATTATCTTTCAGCAAACAGAAGAATTTCTTCCTGGTAGGCACAGCTGACGGCAAACTGGCAGTTTTTGAAGACAGAGCAGTAAAGGTAGACTTGTTCTCTGCTGTCTGTTCTATAAAATACTATCAGTAACATGTAAAGCAGCTACTGACAGTAGCTTTCTTTCATTAAGCTTTTTTTAAATTGCTTCTCTTAAGTTTCTACAGCAGTTTTAGAGGAACTATACATATTTTACACTATTTTAACCAATAAAGTTAGAGGGGAAAATTATTTCTGGGTATAGGACCTTGAAAGGCCTGTCAAACTGACTAGGGAGTGACATTAATGGTTGTTATTAAGAATATTTAACAGTTAAAATTTCATTTGTTTATTGCTCTTACAGCTGCTTTTTTCTTTTTGTTCACATTAAATTTCCGTAGAATAGATCTCTTGAGAGAGACAATGTTGTTTAGAGTTCTGCTCACAGAACAGGTGGGAACTTCTTGTATCAGCTGGTTCCTGAGGATCAGCTCCTGACTGTAGGCAGTTTAGAGCAGTTACGGAGCTGCAGCACATTGCCCAACTAGAACATGGTCCACCCTCATAGTAGAGAACTTCTTCCTGATATCCTCCCAGACTAGATATCTTCCTGATACCTAGTCTAAATCTACCCTGCTCTACTTAAAACCATTGCCCCTCATCCTGTTGCTACAGTCCCTCCTCAGCTTTCCTGAAGGTCACCTTCAGATACTAGAAGGCTGCTATAACGTCTCCCCAGAGCCTTCCCCAGGCTGAACAGCCCCAACTCTCTCAGCCTGTCCTCATAGGAGAGGTGCTCCAGCCCTTTGATCATTTTCGTGGCCTCCTCTGGACCTGCTCCAACAGGTCCATGTCCTTGTTGTGTTGAGGGCTCCAGAGCTGGATGCAGCACTCCAGGTGAGGTCTCAGCAGAGCAGAGCAGAGGGGCAGAATCACCTCTCTTGACCTGCTGGCTACACTGCTTTTGATGCAGCCCAGGATGCGATTTGCTTTCTGGGCTGTGAGCACACGTTGGTGGCTCATGTCCAGCTTTTCATCCAGTTCTTGAACTGCACATAGGGTTGCAGAAGGTATCGGTCACAGCTCTGTCCCGTTTCTGCTCACACAGGCTTTTTTCTTTGGAACATTCCTACAGAGACTAAAATGCTTTTCGGTCTCTTTAACATCCTAGAAAAATTCCATAATGGTTCAGAGAATCTGGACATGTAAATTGAATTCAGCAGGCTGTGTGCCCTTGTTCTGAGTGTCTATAGACTCCTTGTTTCTAATGGCAGTTATATTTTTTCTTGCAGTGTAAGGGTGCTACACCTTTGAAGATAGTAACTATAGGAAATGTTAGTACACCGCTGATGTGCTTGAATGAATCTTCATACTTATCTGAAAAAAACATAATCTGGGGAGGCTGTGGCACAAAGATCATTGCTTTAACTTGTGATTTCTCTGTTCAAAAGCTCATTGAAACAAAGACAAGTCAACTGTAAGTTTTTTTACAAGTGATATTACTTGGCTCTTCTGTTGTTTCCATAAAAAATTTCTGGCAGCACTTTGCTGTAATACTTCGTTCCAGAGCTCGTTCTTTGAGTTCTCTTATTTCCATTCTTTTCCTTCCGTAATACAGGTGGAATACAATGTGCAGAAAAATAAGATCAGTGAGTAGTGTTTAAAGTATTCAGTGCTGCTTTTAAGCAAGGGATATGTGTTTTTACTATTTAAATGATTTATGAAGTCACTGTCCATTCAGAAAACATGTAAGTGTGACCAATCCATTTTTCTCTCCCAAATTACATTTATCCAGGCCCTCTTTATTTAGAATTTCACATACAGACTTAGCATAGTATTTCTTTACACGTTTGTCACTATGATATATATGCAAAACTTTGCCCTATATAGTTAAATCACTTATGATTGCTGACTTCTCATTATTCAGAAATTAGAGACTGAAGTTTTTGGAGTGTTTGATATAGTTCTCACGTGGGCAAATCCCTCTCTGAAGTTTAGGAGAGTTTTTCGTGAGCAAGGCAAAGAGTGTTGAATTTACACTGGTAGAGATCATTATCATGGGAAGTTAATTTGCTTTGGAAAAAAATGTTGCTGAAAAGGAACAAGCTAAAACCCGAGTAAAATGCAGTTCAATGGCAGGATGCAAAATACATCACAGGAATAATTTGAGCTTTGTAGGGGCAAAACTCTATATGTGACATTAGGGAAAGCAGCCGTGTTGCTGAGTGTCTGCTGTCAGGGGCCTATGAATTTGAGCTGTTTTTCAAGATGAAGAGTCAGTGAAATAAGCTCACACTGTCAATTGGCAGGGCCGATAATATTTTGATACATGCAGGCACAGATCTGGCATGAGAGATAAATTTGCATGTAGAGGGAAACAGTGAGAAAGGCTGTCAGCTGACGTGAAACATGGGCAGAGCAAGGTGAACTAAGTCTCACCGCTGCGTTTAAGGCGTAGTTATCCTTGGGTTGCGTAACCCTTTGTGGTCTCCTGGGCCCCGTGAGAACAGTCAAGTGTCTCCAAACATTGCAAGAGTGGCAGGAGAAAGGTGGAGTTTGCCCTGCTGTGACATGATTTGAGCAGAGAGAAAGGAAAGATTTATTCACAGGTTTTGGGCATTAATGAGCCTCCAAGGATATCACCAGCATCACTCTGATGTGGGGTTTTAGGGCTATGGGACTTGAGAAATAGTTCAGATTGTAAATGCTCAGGTTGTGAAGCTGCTTAGATAAGAAAGTCCTGCTGCAAAGCAACAGGAGGAATCAAAGAAGCACAATGGCCTTGAGGTAAGGGAGCTGCTTACACAGCTGCAAGAAAAGCTGGTGTTTAAGCTGACGGAAGAAACATGAACCACCCAAAGACCTCAGTGCACATCTGGAACTAGGCGGGAACTTATGGAAATGAGTTCTCAGAAGAGAGAACTATCAGTTGCCCCTGATAGGCATGCGGATTTGGAGGAGAGATCCCCGCGGTGCCCGGCGCTGCAATAAAGAATACCTGCTTAATAGTTCACCAAGGCTTTTGAGTCCTGATTTCAGCTTTTCACCACATCAGCTCCATTTTTCTGAGAATTTATGTTGAACTGGTTATAGCAAACCCTCTCTGTTGTACCCCAGCCCAGTTTGGTTCTTAAAATGATTCTCAATGATTTTGTAAGAGTTAGAGGGAAGTTAACCCAACTCATAATAGTCAAGTGTTTCTACTAGATATTTTCAGTGTATCTAACTGGAGTTCTTCTCTCTTCTAGGTTCTGTCATAATGCTTACAGTGATGCAAACATTATTTCAATAGCGATAGACAAATCCATCTACTTGGCCAAGAAAAACAGCCATTTCGTGGAAATCTGGGACAAGAAGACAGAAAAACTTTCTGAACTAATTGACTGTGCACATTTTCTTAAGTAAGCATTTTATTTCAGATTGATGACCTGGTGCATAGAAAGCTGAATATCAGATTGTCTGCTCTAGCACGGTACCTTAACCTGCTGGAGATAAGAGGTTTGCACAGTTCTTTGGGCAAATGTGGAATTAGTTTCCTCTCTTTTGGCCCAGAACTTCAGAATATCCCATATAGAATCTCAGGTTTTTAAGACCCTTGTTATATTTCCCAATTTCTCTGTGATGTTGAGAAGATTCATTTACCTCTGCTTAAGACTGAAGAAAATATTTTGCTGTCCTTCAGATATTAATGCTTTTGCATCCAGTTCCTTCCTGCATACCCTGAGTAAGAATGTCTTCTCTCTCTAGTGCACAGATGCAGTAGGAGGTAGAATCATAGAATCGTTTAGGTTGGAAAAGACCTTTAAGATCATGGAGTCCAACCATCAACCTAATATTGCCAAGTGCACCACTGCACATCTTTTAAATACCTCCAGGGATGGTGTCTCCACCACTTCCCAGGGCAGCTTGTTCCAATGGCTGACAACCCTTTTCATGAAGAAATTTTTCCTAATATCCAATCTAAACCTTCCCTGGTGCAACTTGAGGCCTTTTTCTTTTGTCCCATCCCTTGTTACTTTGGAGAAGAAACCGACCCCCACCTCACAACAACCTCTTTTCAGGGAGTTGGAGAGAGCGATAAGGCCTCCCCTCAGCCTCCTTTTCCCCAGGTCCCTCAGCTGCTCCTCACAAGACTTGCTCTCCAGACCCCTCACCAGCTTTGTTGCCCTTCCTTGGACACACTCCAGCACCTCAATGTCTTTCTTGTCATGAGGGGGCCAAAACTGAACACAGGATTCAAGCTGTGGCCTCACCAGTGCCGAGTACAGAGGGACAATCCCTTCCCTAGTCTTGCTCTCTAGTGGGAGAGAACAGAGAAATACACCTGCCTCGTATTTAAAGGCCTTTTGAAGCAGACCAGCTGGCTCTTAGAAGTCCAATAGTTTTCATACCAGTTTGTTTCAAGTCACTGAACTGATTAGCATAAGATTTTTGCAGCTTGTCTTGATGAATGATTGTGTTAAGGGCCAGCAGTGAGAGAGTTGTTTTAGCAGTTGTGGAATAGCATGCCGCCAGATTTTAATACAAATTCTCTCCATACTCATAGGGACAAAGTGGAAAAGCTGGATAAGGAATCAAAACATAAACTGGCTTATTCTGGAAGAGTGAAGACAATTTGCCTGCAGAAAAATACTGCACTGTGGATAGGGACAGGAGGAGGACATATCTTGCTGCTTGATTTATCAACACGTCGTCCTATACGAGTTATAGACAACGTTTGCGATTCTGTTAGAGTCATGATAACAGCTCAGCCAGGTAAGTAAAACCATCGAATGACGAGTTCTTTGAAATCAGTGCCAAGTTGAGGATTGCTGTGTCCTGTTTGGCTCGGTGTTCCAGGAACAGATGAACATTTTCCATGGTTTGTCCATCCATTCTATTCCTCCGCAGCTGTCGTTGTCAGTCCCTGTCAGGCACTGGCCAGTGTCAGCTGCGTCCCAGCAGCCCACCTAAACCAGCAGCTCTGCCCTGGCTTGTCACAGATCAGCACGTGTTCTGCCACGCTCCAGCACCACTCATACCATGTTCTGTCCCACAGTTTTCATCCTGATCTGTGGCTGCCCATGTTCTTTCTTCATCTGAAGTTTTATGCTTCTGGATTCTCTCTGTGGAGCTTGTTAGGTTTTAATCATTTTTCCTGAACTGCTATCACCTCATTTTCTTCTCCCATCCTTATTCAGGAATGGATCTTTTAGGTTTGGGTCCCAGGCAGATCACAGCAAAGCTGGGAAAGTGCTGCACAATTGGACACAGGATGCGGCCTTGTACCTACATGCTCTTCTGTCACCAGGGCCAGTTGTTTCCAACTGCTATAGGCAGACGATAGTCGTGGGTTTGCCGTGGTAGTTACAAACAGCCAGAGGAGTGTAATTGAGTTTAGGGCACTTCTTGGCTGCTGTAATTTCCTTCACCTGTACAATTCCTTGCGTCTCTCCCAGAAGCAGTAAAGGTCACACACCAACTCACGAGTTCATTGTACTGCAGTGGTGGCTACACTCGAAATACACATTACGTCAAAAAGCGCTCTGTGGTGCGACATATGGATTCCCATCACCTGTTTTGAAAAAAAAACTCTGGAGTTCCCTTTTGATGTGATTTAAAATGTGTGTTGTCAGAAAAGACTCTGAACCTGCTGTTGTGTGCACAGAAACACACAGTAATCCTGCCAGCAAACTTCATAGTTGCAGGCTGTGAATGTTTTCTCATTACCATTGTGAACTTAATTTATCGTAGAATCACAGAATGGTTTGGGTTATAAAGGATCTTAAAGACCGTCTGGTTCCAACCCCTGTTTGGGGTTTTTTATGGCACTGTTAGTATCCATAGCCTACAGTTTGCTCACAGTGCTGACAGCTGTACAAGTCAATAAAACTCTTCCTCTAACTTGCCTTTGCCTGAGGCAGCAAGTTTGTAGAGCCTCTTGGGTCTGCAGCTGCGAAGAGCTAGAGAGTCCAGATTCACCAGCCCAGCGTTTTCAGTTCTCCTAGTCCTGAGAGCTACAGCGTTAGTACTCTAGAGGGACATTTTATTTTTAGCATTTTGGAAAGGATAGTTACTATGAAAACAAAATTTCTGCCTCACTTATAACTGTCATTGGTGGAGAAAGTATATTGTATAGAATATTACAGCAGGATTTAAAAAGCCTTGAGTCTTGTATTCTTTGTTTGTAGTCACCTCAGCACTTCTATCTAGATTTTATGTATAGAAAATATTTCAGGAGAGTTTAGCTGCATTTGTAACTAGGTCTCAAGAACGACAAGTAAGATTGATACATGCAGTTTGATGTGTACTGGTTTTTTTACATCTTTTCCCAGCAATTATTTATAAGGGTTGGGTTTTCTGCAAAATTCAAGGACTTTATTTCCAGGATCTCTGAAAATGGCACTGAGGCTGCTGAGCAGTTCTTCGGTAGCAACACATTTCTTGTGTGAAGTGAGAGAAGGTAGAGGGAAATATTTTTTTTTTAAACAGTTTCATTTAAGATGAAAATACATGGTGTCAGTCAGATGTAAATATTTCAGGGAAAAGAGATTGCCAGACTTTGAGACATCAGTTTTATCTGTAATTCATATATACATATGGAAATAGGTATTTTTTCTAAATCTGTCGCCTAACACGTCAGTGTATAATGGACATGAGATTTACAATGGAGAGTATTTGCAAAACTCTAAGTAGTAAGAAAGTACCTTAGTCTGAAAAGAATCATTATACTTACATTAAGATCACTTTTGTAAAGAGTGTGGATAGAGCTGATGCAGAAAAAAGTGATGAAAAATCAGAGCATGGAAGATGCACAGGGTTCCCACCAGCCCTCATCTACCACAAACAGATTTACATCCCTATCAGAGGAGAATGTCCTGCAGATCTCCACAGGGCAGGAGAAATGTCCCTGAACCTTCCAGAGGTCCTGGGGCACCCACTAGAAACTTCTGCTGATTCAGAGGAACGTATCGTGGGCAACACGCTGCGGTGCAGTCACCCAAAACTTCCAAGACTAGATCAGAATCATAGAATGCAGTTGAGCTGGAAGGGACCTCTAAGGGTCACCTAGTCCAACCCCCTGCAGTGAGCAGGCACATCTTTAACTAGATCAGGTTGCTCAGAGCCCCATCAAGCCTGACCTTGAATGCCTTCAGGGATGGCACCTCCACCACCTCTCTGGGCAACCTGTGCCCGTGTTTCACCACCCTCATACCCCAAGAAACAGACCCCCTCCTCATCTTTTCTGTGGATGAGTGAGTAAGACCTCACGTGTGGAGAGGTGTGGGGTGTGGGACTGGGTGCCTGCTGGGGAAAGGTTCGTGCTTCCCTGGGCTCATCCGTGCCCCAGGTCCGTAGCTGGGTCCTGCACTCCCCTACGAGCGACGGCCAAGGGCTCACCGCCCTCGTTGTGCTGCTGTGGCAGGAGAACATGTAACAGCTTCATCCATCTTGCAAGGCATTTGTAAGCACATTTTGTTGGGAATAAGCAGGAAGTTGGCATCAAAACACTGGCACGTTCAACTTGTGCCCCTGTGATCCTTCCACTCCCACCTTCCTCATCTTTTTTGGTGTTGTTCAGTAGGCACCTCCGGAAGATCCCACCCCCTGCTTCTGCTTCCCTGCTAACTCTCCCACCCACACACCGTCAGTAGTTCAGAACACTAATTAGCTCGTATCGCATTTGATTGTTCCACGTTTTTTTGTAACCAAACTGATTCCTGGCATTTTCTATTCCTGCCCTGCGCAGAGACCTCGTTTGCCGCCCTTCCCTCACTGCCGCGTCTGTTCCCCGCGTCTCTGCTCCCCCAGCTCGCGCTGTGTAAGAGGCTGCTTTGTTCCTGGGCTGGGCCAGTGCTTACGCCCTTGAACCCCGATAAATCCGGACATCAGATGGAGACATGAACTAGGTTGTTTTCCTGCCTGGGTTTTTCGCAGCTGATGATTTCACACCAAGTGTCCGGTTGGCCGGATTCTGCTTTCTGTCCTCTTAGTGGCATGATGTCATCTACTCTTGCTGTCCTTAAGTTGCCAGGGTCCCATGAAAAGTAAAACTTGATGTTTTATTTCTTTGAAAAAAGGGAGTCTGAAGAATGCCATCCTGGTTTTGGGATATTGCTATAAAAGTGACACCGATGACAACAAATACCACAAAGGTACCTCAACTGTTTTTTACTAATTTGTATTATTAGTGGAACAGATACTATTTTGCCTGTCTACCCACCGAGAGTGGAGAGTTGATAATCATCATTGGATATAATTGTATTGAAACATAACTAGTTTTTGTTGCCTTTTGCATTTCTGGGCTCCGTACAAGCTAACAGTAACTTCCAAAAATGGGCCAGTGGGAGAGCCACTATCTGAAGTATACAATATAATTTGCTGGAAAAGTGTATTTTGTAGGATCATAGAATGGTTGCGGTTGGAAGGGACCTTGAAGATCATCTAGTTCCAACCCTCCTGCTGTGGGGAGTAAATGTTGTTCTCTGATTAGAGAACATACCAACTGGATCTGCAGAGGGGTCTGTGCTAGGCCAGGAATCCTCAGTGTTTGCAGGGATGAAGGAATTGTGAGTGTGCTTTTCCGATTTGCAGGCGATTCTCAGCTAACACAGACACTGGAGGGCAGGGTTAGAATTCCAGACGACCTTGACAAATGTAACAAATGGCCTGGAAGGAAACAATACAATTCAGTGAGGACAAATGTAAGACCTTTTACTTTAGGAATGATCTGTTGTACCAACACAAGGAAATGCCGGGCTGGAACAGCGGCGCCGCAGAAAGAGGGCTGTCATTGATGGCAGGCGGAGCGCGAGTCCCATGTGTCACGTTGCTGCGGCACGTTGCTGCGGAAGAGGCAAACACCATCCTCACACCCATCACAAGCAGTTTCTGTAAAACACGAGTTCTTACACTCTGCCAAGTGCTTGCGTGGCCTCTGCTGGAGGAGTGTTTCCTTCTGGGACTGCTGAATGATCTATTATTCGTAGAATATTAAGAATATTAACATTCTTAATAGAACATTCTTAATATTCTTAATAGAATAGGAAGACTAGTTTAGAGGAGAGAAATGCAACTTGTGAGGAAGCATTGCAGGAAATTAAGCTGGTTTATATAAATAAAGCTTGGAGAAGACATGAGAATAGGCTTCAAATATGTAAATAAAACAGCAGGGAAGAAAGATTTCTCTGTGCTCCCTGTGGGCAGTGTGAGGACTAAGCAGTTTCTAATGGAGCAAGGGAGATTTAGGTCACACCAGGAAAAGATTCTTGACCATGAGGATAGAGAACAGGAGCAAGAAGATAGAAAATCTCCATCCGTGGGTTTTTCTAGGAAGTAACAGCTGATGCTCCGATCAATGCCCTTGTTCACCTTTATCCCATCCCAGTTTCAGTGACTCCAAAAAATGTGGCAATGACAGCATAAAGTTGAGGGTGGCAAGTGTAGACGAGCTGACTGAAGTAAAACAGGAATCAAACTCAGAACAGTGATTTTTATGTTCTGATGTTCCCCGGTTATTACTGTAGGAACACTTAATGCCTTTTTAGCCTTTCTGTTGCATTTAAGAGTGCCATGCAGAGAGGAATCAGAGACTCCCACAAACCTTGGGGCCTTAGTTTGTGAGCCCCTTCTCGTGCCCCTACTTATTCCACTAAAAGCAACATGAATACCCCCTGAATAGAGTTGTTTGCGTGAAGGAGATTGAAGAAGTGACCCTTCCCCAGAATACTCACTACTTTATGGAATCAGTTTTCTTTTTTAGTTTTCAGCGAATGGGTCTTGTAGGCTTTTAGGGAATGTCTGCTCAGGAAAACAGAGGTGAAATTTTATGCAGGCACCACTGTGCTAGCATTAGGTGAAGCTCAGGTCAGGACCTTATGGCCCACAGGCACCAGAGGTGGTTTTTTGAGTGTTTTTCAGTGGTATACTCCAGGAACTGAAACATAAATCGTTGTGCAAGTACAAACAGCTTGTAACCCATAACCGTGTTTCCTCACACCAAGTGTCACACACCTTGTCTTCCAGGTCCTAAGCATCATGTTCATTGAGGCAATTTGCGAGTATTAAATAAAAAAAAAAGCAGATAGCAAAACCACTTCTACTTATGCAATAGTTTGTCTCTGTTCCATTTTTCAAAAGTTTTTTAATTCTTTTCCAGAATTACAATCCTGTGTGTCAGTGTGGGACATTAACCTGCCCCATGAAGTGCAAAACCTGAAGAAACATATAGAAATGAGACAGGAGTTAGCAGAAAAAATGAAGAACTTTTCTTTGGAGTGAAGTGTCATGCTGCAAGTGCCGGTCTCGTTTCTAGTCTTCCATCTTTACATACTGTGCAATATTTACAACTTCTTGCTGGTATTTTTAACCTAAAACCTGGAAGAAAATTGCCATGAGAGAGGCAGTAGGGTATTGATAGGATTACCGAGAAAAGAGAAGGATAAATTATTTGTAATATTTGAAAGGACAGGAATCTGTTCAGGATTTCTGAATCTGAAGTGTTCCCATGCAGCTGTTGTTTACTCATGAAGTTCTGCTCTCAGCAACTACGCCTCAGCTTCAGTCTAACGTTGTTCGTCCGGTTTTTGATCCCGGTTAAATTGGGAGTAAGCCAGGAGACTATAAATGGCTTTTATTTACTTCATTACTGAGTTGACAGCATAATGAGAAGGAAAATTTAAGCCTCTGTGCATTTGTTGCAGTTTGCATGTATGAGTTTGCTCTGATGATTCATGTTTTAGTAATGTCAGAGCTCATGACCCCGAGTTTATGAAAGCAAGCATTGTATTTTATATAATAGCAGTGTCTAAAGGAACATAGAATGACTACATTACTTCTTGAAGACAACAGGCAGAACAGTCTTTTATGTCTTCCGTGAATAATTGACATTTTTTCATTATGATCAGGGGAAAAAAAAAAAAAAAGTTGTGCTACAAGATAAAACAGTTCAGGATTCAGAATTTAAATACACCCTCAGGCTTCTGCAAGTTGGTGTCCTCTCGCAGTCCTGCAGCCTGCCTTGGTCTAGGAGCTGTACTCACGGTGCTGCCACTCACCTACATCTGTTGTACAGCGCGCTCTGAAAAGCTGAGAGGAAGGGCAGGCCGAGAGCTCCGATCCAAATGCTGCTGCAGCCTGTACCCCAAAGCGAGCAGCATGCTCCTGCACCCGGGCTGCTCGCTCTCAGTCCAACTCGCTGGTTTGCTCATCTTGATCTGGGGAAAAAAAAAAAAAAAAAGAAGAGAACTTCCACACTTTGATATTATATCATAGAATAGCCTAAGCTGGAAGGGACCTTAGAGATCATTTTCATCAAGCCTCCCTGCCGCCAGGGACGCCACCTCTCGACTAGATCAGGCAACACATGGGATATTACTAATGCACATAGGTTCTGTTTATTCTTGTTTTCATTTCTATCATTATTTTGGGGGAAAGCAGGGGAGCCTTGAGGAGCTGAGAACTGGCTGCCTCTGGCACGTAAGTACCAGAATTTGTTGCTGCACGTCTTTGTTCAAGAGAAGTCTTTCCCTGCTCTCTGGCTGTAAATCCAGACGGCTTTGTGCAGCCTGCACTGACCTGCTCCTGGGGAGGAAGTGCCTTATTTCTGTCGCTCAGAAGTCAAATATCCCGTTCTCTTTTTGATACCAAAAGAATCTCAAGGAGGCTTCTGAAATCTCAAGGAGTGGAGTATCCAGAGCCGTTCCTGAGTCTATAGAGATGAACAAATTGGAGCAAGCAAAGTGTTCTTACTTCAATTTGTACAGTTTTTGAGAAAGTACATACTAGGACAACAGTATTTATTGTGTCCAACTGTATTATTCTTCTGTTTTCTGCCATTTGTTGAGTGCGTGTTCAAGATTCCTTTCAGATGCGCATCCTGGTTTTTATGTATTCCTGTAATTGCATACTGAAAATAATTTGCTATTTATATGGGGTTTTATAACTCAGAGTATATATATTATCTTACACTGAATACTTTTTAAAGAAATAGAATATATGTATTGTGATTAAGTTTATTTATAAGTCATTTTGAGATTAAGCCTTAAACCTTTCTATTAAAACTGTGCTTTGTTAATAACATGGTCTGCTTTCTGGTTGCTTGATTTCCAAGGAGCTTTGGCGTGCGGTTTCTGCAGAGCTTCATCCCTTACAGCAGGATGATGCAAGGTCCCAGTTCTGCAGCTTGTGTTGACACAGCTGCGTCCCCATGTGTTCTGTCTCACAGCGTGCTGCTTGAGCCCTTTTCCATTCCCTAGTTTGTCTGCTCCTCAGTGTTCCAGGCAAGAGACAGGAGCTTGCTACAAACCCAAATTGGCTTGTGTTGAATTTTCAGTGGCGGGAGGGTAAAAAACTGTAGCAGCGGTACCACGCTGGGGCTGTTCAGCAATACAGCACTCGTTCAGGGCGAGGGTCCTGCTGTGTTCTTCCCAAGTACTTTTTGGTACTAGAAGAGAAGAGCTTGTGTCAGTGCTTCTTCTTGTTCTTTGCCATTTGATACAGGCTAGGAGCACATCTCTGGCCCTCCTGCGCCCTTCTCACCTCATGGAGTCGTAGAACCATTAACGTTGCAAAAGACCTCTAAGAGCATCAGGTCCAACTGTCTACCCAACCTTAACATGACCACTAAGACATGTTTTGAAGTGCCACATCTACACACTTTTTTGTGTAAAAAAATCTTCAGGGATGGAGACTCCACCACTTCCCTGGGCAGCCTGTTCCAAACCCTCGCCACTCTTTCAATAAAGAAATTGTTCCTGATGTCCAATCTAAACCTTCCTTGGTGCAACTTGAGGCCATTTTCTCTTGTCCGATTGGTGGTTACTTTGGAGACGAGACCAACGCCTACCTCATGCTGCACAGCTGCCCGGCTGCCATAGGCAGCATTTCTTGGCCAGGGCCTGTCCTGTCAAATGGAGCAGACGTCAGCAGCCATCTCTTCCCTGAGCATGGGAAGCCTCTGGAAGGAGGTGACTGCAGAACTGCTGGGCCAGGAGCTGGCAGGCACTCAGCGTGCAGGTCCCACTTTGAAGCACTCCGGGACTGGCGTCCCCTTCCTGGCTGAGGGATGCTGCTCAGAGGAAGAACAACAACCCTTTAAACCCATGCTACAAGGAAACCTTTTCCCTGAAACATTTCTCCTGACAAGCTGTAAAGGAAAGAGGGGTTGAAAAAAGCCAACTAGATCCATGACTTTGTGTTCTCTCTTGTTGTAGCAGAGCCCTTTGGAAACCAGTAGGATGTGGTCAGGTAAAAACACAAGCTCTTACCAGCTGTGGAGCCTCCCGTGTACCTGGGATAACATCCAGCCTGGAAACAGGCCAGTAACCCTCAGGTCAAAAAAGAGGCTGTTTGCTTGTGGGAACAAGCAGTCTGCCTTGGCTTGGATTTAACACCCGAGCTAGAACGTGTAATTAACCCTGTGTTTCTTAGAAGTGCACAGCTAAAGGATACCAGGATTTAGACCTAAAAACAAGGAGACAAGCTGCATGGTGAGCTGTCTGCTTGGTGAGGTAGCGAGCTATTTGCTTGTAAAGCATCTTTCCCCTCCTGTGCTACTGACTTTAATTAGGGTCATTCTTTTTTTATTGGTTGCTCTGGACAACTCACCCGTTCAGATTCACCTGTACATTAATTTTAACCATAGTTCTTCTACAGTTTCTGGTTACACCAACAAGTTACACAGAACTGATTTCACACACTTCTGTCTAATAACACACCATTCCTGTTCCTCTGAAATCTCATACTTCCTCTTGTATCCCTTATTATTATCATCCCATTATTTCTTCATGCACAACTTTGGGGCAAAACTGGGACGTGCAAGAGAGGAGAGAGAACGAGGCCTCCTGGGTGTGAGCTGGTCCCCAAACATGGGCATTTGTCACTGCTGCCACTTGCTCACCCCCTCCCATGTACCTGGAGTGAGCAAGACAAATAATCCAGTTTATGATGAACTCTTCAGGTACCAGAGACATGAGAAAGTAGTATGGGAAAAGAATGAGGCTCAGTGAACAAGAAGACAATGACATTTGTATTTTTCTCTCAGTTTTTGAAGTAGAAAGGCATATGAACTATTACCACTAATTTTCTGGCCTTTAAGTCATCTGTTAAAAAAAAAATATATATCTGAAAACAGCTCCTTTTACCTGTCTTAAAACAACTGATTTTTTTTTATCAGAACAAGCAGTTTTTCATCTGAATTCTCTTCATCCATATTGTAATCTCTTCCTAGGACTGTACTGACCTGCATGTCTCTTACATAAAACCTTCATGGCCTTTGAACAAGTATAATTAAAAATGACATTTGGTAGCTGGCCAGTGTGCCATTTTGTTAACTTTTCCAAATTTTTTTTTTTTGGTCAGGTAGGCCTGTATCTTTGTAACAATTATTTTAGGTTTTAAATAAAGTTGCATAAACACATTAGAGCTGAGAATCCTACTAATTGCATATCTGTATTTTAAAATCCATGATTTTAAGAGGGAAAAACAAAACCAACTCACAAGATGTAGTGTTGCGGTAGCAAAGGGGAACCTCATTTAGCAAAAATTTAGAAGCTTCAAGAACATTCTTCACTGTATTTGTGCTGTGTGAAGACAGCAGTGCCTGCAGCTGTAGAGGCACCTTAGTAAGACTCAAGACTAGTTCCTGGTGAACCAAGTAATGGAATTACAAGAATGATCAAATGGTGAAAGAACTATTTTCCCTCCAGGGACCTTATGTTGACTGGAACCTACCATTTATGTGGTTTACTTGGACTGAGCAGTAAACTGGAATTATTTTTTTTAAGTAATTTGAAAATTACAATACACCAGTACTTCTGTTGTTAAAACCCAATATTTTTTAAAAACGATGCTTACACAAGTTTGGTAAAAACAAAATGAATATAAAAGCACGCTAAGGCCTTTTCTTTTTTTCCTTTTCTTCTGCACAGTTTTGCTTTTCTTGCTGCCTGAGGCAGCAGCAGGCAAATGCTGTTGGGGTGGTTCAGCGCTGCGGTCAGTCCTGACAAAGGCTGTCACTAATTAGCAAGAAGAGACTTAGAAATCCACGTTTGCGATCTGACGTATACAGTTATTTACTCCACTTCCACTACAGCCCATTAGCACCAACGATCTGAAAAGCTCATGAGAATAGATAAAGCGGAAAGGAACTAAAATCTTCTCTTGTGGCAATTCCAGTGTTTTGCCTTTTCCACACCATTTCTTTCTCTGCCTTTTGCTGAATTTTTCCTGCGTTTTCCCGCTGTGCCTGGGAGAGGGTCAGGGCTTCACTGGGGCGGCCT